CTCAGGCCTGTTCTCCAGTCAGGTGTGTAAGGCCTCCTCCCCTTAAGGCCTCACAAATTTGGCTGGGGGTGTCTGTGGGACCCGGATAGTTCTTGCCGTTTTTCAGCCTGCAGATTAGAGACTGCAAACTGGGAGCCCTGTGTGCCAGACGCATCCTGCAGCTGTGTCTGGTTTGGTCTGCCGCAAACATTTAAAAGTTGAGAATTCACATAAAAATTCAGAATTCTGACTGCTAGAAGATTAAATTAGGTAATGATGGGCCTGAGTCCTCATGGGGCAGCCTGCCAGTTGCCACTGACTAGGGGCTTCTCTATGCAGAAGGGGTCACCCATCCCCACTCATCTGTATTGCCTGCCCAGACAGACCCTGTGGCCAATTCAGTTTGTGACCCTTAAAGACACGAAGGGCCCAGAACTGGCAGCCCTGGACATATGTCTGGCAGGCAGTGAAGCTGCAGAGACTGTCCCATGTTTATCCCACACATATGAACAGACCAAAGGCAAGGCACATTCACACAGAAAGACTGTGCCTAGTAAATGAGCCTTGTAGCCTGTGAAAGGGTCTGTTCCAGTCTTCCCTCTCCAAAACCCAGTACCGTTCCTCTACTTTTCAAACCTGGTTAGGCCAGAACTGATTACATGGCCAAATCTTGGCTCACACTGGCCTTGCACTGGGATGTTTCTTTCCTCTGGTTCAGAGCCTCTGATGAAGTGAGCTAACTTTGGATCAGCAGCTGCAAGGCTTGGCTCCAGTGCTGGCGGGTCACCCCCTCCATCCCTGAACCATGTCCCCTGGAGCAACAGCAGCCTGACCTGCAGGTAACACCTTAAACAGCTGCTAGAGCTGGGATCTTCGTGGCTAGGGGGTACTCAGATATCTAAGTTCTTGGTTATGTGCCCTCAGTTACCAGGATGTGAACTGTCTGTTTAGCTTCACTTTAGTGAGCTTACAAGTTTTTACTTCCAGTTACTACACTTACTTGACTCAGAAGGTGGTTTCCTCATTCCTATTGCTTAAACACCTTGACAAGTCCTAGGGGTTAAGAAAGGTTAGTGCGGCTATGGTCTATCCATCTGTGCTCTAGTTAGAGTGTGCAGACACCTGCCTTTCCACTTGTCTCTCTCCACGACCAGCGACAGGAACCACTGATGCTGAACCTTAGACTGACAGTGGCCTCAGACTCTGGCTGCCAAGCACACAACCTGCCATCAACATTAAACAGGCCCACATGTGCAGAGGAGTTTCCTCCCTGGAATGCTCTGAAATTCACTTTTCTACCTGAGGATTCTGTTCTAAACCTTCTGCCTACAGTGGCTGTCACTGTGGAAGCTGATACCTAAAACTTTGATTAGCTCACAATGCTGACATGTATATGCGGTTTTTGTGAGTGCCTTCTGCCTGAAGTGGAAGAGATTTTTTATTGAAAAATGCAACGATCTGTTACTCCCGATGTCCACCACAAAGGTGTTAACCTCAGAAGACTAAGAAGCATCGAATGGCAGGGCACGGTGGCTCATGCCTGTAATCCCAGCACTTTGGGCCAACATGGTGAAACCCCATCTCTACTAAAAATACAAAAATTAGCTGGGCGTGGTGGCACGCATCTGTAATCCCAGATACTCGGGAGGCCGAGGTGGACAAATTGCTTGAACCCAGGAGGCAGAGGCCGTAGTAAGCCAAGACTGTGCCACTGCACTCCAGCCTGGCGACAGAGCAAGACTCTGTCTCCACCCCTCC